TAAAACATTCCAGGGTTCGTCGATTCTAGTATTTAAATATGTGCACTTGATGTTTCAAAGGTCACTTGCACATTGACATCTGAATGCCCATTGTCGTAATAAAAGTTCGGTCACAATTCAGTTCCGATAAACTGTCGATCTCACAACTGTCATAAAAGGTATTTTCGTAGTAAAGTATTAAACATTCAACGTTAACTGTAATGTGGTATTAGTAATAGTTTACTGTATATTACGAGGATTGGGCTTCTGAATGTAGTAACTTTAAGTACGATAAGCAAGGAAAATAGGATCAATACTACGCTGATACTGCTGCGATCAATTTGTATTGTGGAGGTCTAGTCAAGCCCGAAAGTCGCAAAACAAATACTTATTTACCTTTACTATATTAAAATATACACACTTTATAGATAAACTTAAAATCAGAAACATGTGAGAACGAGAATCGGCTTCAACTCTGTCTGTGGGAGTGCACTGTGACTCTTGATCAACACACACACAGTAGCAACAATCTCTGTTTTGCCAAATAGTTAGTAAAATAAATTTAATAAAAATATACTTATACAAAATCTATGATATGCCTGTGCCGATTTACAACCGCCCGTTTCCTTATGGGGTTGTGCCTTATGAGAAGAAAGGGCAAACAAACTCATGGATGTTTACTTTCCTATGCCATAAAAAAGCAATTTTTCTCGCATCAATTCGACCATAAATCTATTATGATCTACTACTCATCTCCCGTCTGGCCAGCGTGGTGTATTAGGCCAAAACTTCCTTTCCGAGGAGAGGCCTATGTCCAGCAGTGGATTAGTAAAGGCTGTTGATGATGATGACTCATCTCCCAAATATTTGTACGTCAGTTTCATCAAAGGTGGTTTTGGGACTTATTTTACAAGTTCTCGACATAAATACTCAAAGAACCCACCATTAGCTCTGTCACCTTTACAACGATCATTCGAACAAACTAATACGTGAGTTGTGACGTAATTTCTAGAACAATATGTGATGATTTTTTACTAATTATAGCCAGGGATGCCGTGATAGTGCGTGTATGGTGCGCGGTCGTCGGCCCCCGTTATCATTTCGGCACAGATTGTCTGATCCCGTCGCCGCGTCGCTCGTCCCGCCTTGCTCGGAGTGCTACATCACACAATATCGCCCTTCTCTTTCTATGATTATTTATTTATTTTTTAAAAATACGTTTTGTTAAACTTATTCTTTTTAATTATGAAATTAAATTAGGTTTGATCAATTAAAAATATAAATGTAGAGGTTGTACAGTGGTTTAGTCGTGTCCATAACTTAAGTTATTTTCTTTCTTTGTTAAGTCCAGTGATAAATTACCTGTATTGGGGTTACCTATTAAAAATCTTAAATTGTAAATATTTTCATGTAAAATCTTGTATTTGGTCTAAAGATATCTTCTTCTTCCTTGAAACGTATTCTATATATAATACGTTTATATATCTATACATAATAGAAAATTACTTGCCCCGTCTGATTGCCTCATTCATCAAGGCAGAGCCTAAACCGCTAGGGCTACAAACTTGAAGTTCTAGCAGCTGATGCTATTTAAGTCGTAAGTACAAAATAAGCAAGGATTTTTGGAAATTTTACCCTTAAGGGTAAAATAAGGCACGAACGGTTGTAGGGAGTTAGAAACACGAAAAAAGAAGGTATTACGTAGTACTTATGTCGAGGACAGCCGTGGACAATAGCTTGTATAATAAAACAATGAGTAATAACTATGTCCCAGTATATTATAATTGAGTGTAATTTATTTATACTCGTATTATGTATGTATTTAGAAATATGTAAGTAAGTTTATCAGCAGTCTGCTTACCACAGTACAGGCTCTGCCTAGTTTGGGATGAGACGGCCGTGTGTGAGATGTGTGAAATGATTATATTATATTTTTTTTATATTATTAAAAATAAACATAAAAATACGAGTATATTATGCATATACCCTTATGATACGCTCATTGAGCGAAGAGGTCATACTGTAAATATATGTATATATATGTAAATATCTGTAAAATATTCATGTAAAAACGCTTACAACGCGTTGTGGCAATCACAAAATAACCACATAACAAAGTCTTAGGTCATGACTATCATTATACGATCACCACATATTGGTAGCAGTGGAGTGTAGAGAACTTTCTAAAGAAAGACTCCCAAAAAGTTAATACAATTTCACTTAGGCCTGCGTCCCGGAATAGATAGGCATATACTCGCATTAGACATTGACGTTTTGCTAAGTATTACTTGGTTCATGTCATATATGTATAGGCAAACCTGTTGTTTTAAACAGCGCGCTTATGGAATTAAAGATGAAGAAATTAAAGTATTGAGTTCTACATTTAACTCTGAAGAAAATATTCACCCTTCAAAACCCCTTAATATTCTCGTGTCAAAATTGTTTTTACTTCTAAAAGACTATGTACCCTAAACATATTTAAAGTTAAGTTACCGTAACTAATATGTACACCTATTCAAATAAATACCTTGCTAGTACTAACAGCTTCTAAGCTAAGCTACAGTTGGACGGGCATAGACAGGCGGAAATTGTTAGTTTCTTAGAAATACGAAACCCATTTAAAAACAACAGAAATATTTTATATCATTCCATCATCATTATCATCAATAGCCTTTATTAATCCAATGTTGGACATAGGGCTTGTGGAGGAACGGGTGTCATGTCCCTCCAACACAAAGGGAGGATCCTCCGACCAGGCGAGGTGATCATGCCTGGCGGGCCGAGGTGATATTGGGAAGTTGTATATATGCTAATCGGCGAGGGAATTCTTCATATCGCGATACAGGATTAGCAATTCTTATTTAGTAGTTACTCCGTTGTTCGGTGTGTCTTCATTAGATGGCGCTGTAGTATGTTTCTGTTTCTTTGTATGTGCGAGTATGTATTCTGCCACAGGGCTCTCCTTAGAAAGGAGGTTTTGACGTACTATATCATGCTGACCAGACGGGTTGGTTTAGGGTTTTTGTAAAGTTTTCCTTCTCTTTACACCGCTGTTTGTACTGCCCTGCGCAGTTTGCTTCCATAGTCGACTCTTACGACACCCACGGGATGAATAGAGGTCGTGACACTCCGTATTCTTAAGCCATCACCACACGGTAAATTTAATTGTTATATCATTAAATTGTACCCCTAATGTTATGGTATGGTTACCATAACATTAGGGGTACATTAGGGGTAGATTTATTATAACTTTTAAAACAATAATTATTGTATAACAATGTTTTTGGCACTGACATCACTTTTTATTGTGTAAACACTAATTTATCAATGCATTTGAGATAACTGAGCGCTCCGAATAATCATTAACCTAATTAATAATGTTTGTTTATAAAGATTTTATTATTTATGCCTGTGATATTGTGGTACTTATTGATTGCACTATGAACGCCAATCGCGACGTCTTGAATATTCATTTGTATTGTTAAGGATAATGACTAGACTGCACGGATGGCGTAGTGGTTTAAGCGGTCACCACGCCGCTTCCTACTACGCCGAGTGTTGTGGGTTCAAACGCCACATGGGACAACACTTTGTGTGATCCACAAATTGTTGTTCTGAGTCTGGGTGTTCTTTGTGTCCGTTTCATGTATGTTTGTAAAGACCCCCGCGACACAGGATATATTCCTAATGCGGGAGTTGTCTTTTTTAGAAAAAAAAAATGGTTTGTAAACGCCGCCGTTGCCAAAGGAGGTTCCATCGATCCTACCGGGTCTTGTGGAATCTTCATTAGTAGTTCCTCCAGTAGTCCCTTCTGGTGCACTTGCACAGCTTTAGTTATAAGCCCTCCAGAGATTCATCTTAGTTCATTGCCCTTAATAATCATCTTCGTATCTATACATTGCTATTAAAATCAGACAGGCGCTTACAGGCGTAAAAGTAATTGGTTATGATATTCACAGCCAGATTTATAGTTGTCCAGATTTAGAATATATATTTGTTTGATATTAGCTATGCAAATGGTAATCGCTTTTTTTGGTGACGACGTGGAAAATCTCCGGCTCGAACCAGGAGTAGTTTAGTGTTTCCACTAAACCCCCTCTCCACCCCCGACGGCCAACCTCAGGTGACTTACTCTAGAGAGTTACCGGACCATGTAATTTCAGGGTCCGTGTAGTGACGGATTAAGAATACGGAATGTCACTACCCCAATTCATCCCGTGGGTGTCGTAAGAGCCGACTAAGGGCGCAAAACAACGCAACGCAGGACACTAGCACTGCAAAAAGACGCAAAACTTGACACAAACCCTTTTTTATTTTTTTATTTTTTTACGTGTGGAAATCCCCTCGGACCGTCACCCCGCCGGGTCTCTCGTTCGGCGGGGCGGTGTGTCGGACTCGAACCGACTAAAACCACATGGTGTGCCCTCTTTGCGCTTCCAGTTTAGGAGGGGTCCAGGTAGGTATCGCCTTCTGGACCCCTCCCAGCGCCGGCCCGCTCCTGATGCGGGCTCCGTCTCAGTGGACCCTCTCTTTAGGCGACGTCTGGCACACGCGGACGCCGCCCCCTTGCGGCTGGCCAACTAATGCGGGTGGAGGGGAGAACCCATCCCGTCCACCCGCGGCCACACTCAGGGCGGCATGAGGCGCAGGTAAGCGCGCCTCCGCCGCCCGGTTCGCCGGCGGCGGATCAGGTCCGAATGGAGGAACTTGACACAAACCCTATACCAACCCGCCTGGCCAGCGTGGTATAGTAGGCCAAAACCTTCTTTCTAAGGAGAGGCCTATGTCCAGCAGTGGACTATTAAAGGCTGTTGATGTGTGATGTGATGATGTAATTTCAGGTCCCCCGAATCAACAACGTGATAGCAGCTATGGCTATGGTTTGAAGGTCATCCTGCTTACAAGTTCGAACTGAACCACAAGTTGGATATCAAGCTGTTATCATAACATGTTACTTCTTCGTTTATCATGAATATCTAAGGTTCTTAGTAGTGATCATTTTTCAGGGTGATGGTGCCAAGATGACAATGTGGCGGCTGTTGGCGGCGCTGATCGTGCTGGGCGCATGCGCCGCCGAGCCCCGCCTCGCGCAGAGCACATCGCGCCCGCGACACTGGCAGCGCGGCCCACGCACGCTAGCTGATCGTAAACCTAATCCATTTGTTGGGTAAGTTACTGTATTAGTTATAGTATAGTTGTTATTGTTGTTGTATTAGTTATAGTATATTGTATTATAGTTTATCAGATACACTTTAACATGTACTTTTATACCTGACTCATCCCACTAGAAAACAACGTTTTTCGTGATAGAAAGTAGCTTATGTGTCAGCTACCTCCATACCAAATTTTATCAAAATTGGTATAGCCGTTTGAACGTGAAGAATTAACATACATACAAACACACACACTCACGAAGTTTCGCCTTTATAATATTCGTGTGATGTAATCAAATATTTTTCGAAACTAAGTACTTTTTAAGTGCTTTTGAAATCTAATTTATAATTATAAAATGTCTATATTTTTAAAATAACAGAATACAAGTACAGGGGAAGGTCTTCATAAATATGAGTAAGAAATTCTAAGTTGGCATATTCCCAGGCCCGGTAAGTGACTAATACTGTTTTAACTCTCGACAGTAGGTTTATTGTAAACGGAAAAATCAATCGTGATCATCTACGATTGAGGGACATAGGTAAAGAATGTGATGTAAATGCAATATAATCGTTCGGTGCATCGCTCCGACATCCTTGGAAACGTACGTGTCTCGCATTTTACGATATAGATTGTCCGCCACATTTCACACCGACATACTGAGCTTATCCCCATTTTTATATCACTATATAAGTTCTTTGTTGAGCAGTTTGTGTCCTGTAAAAAGTATTTATATTTAATTTAAAAATATTTATATTTGTTGACCTGTTGTTCTAGTAGTTAGTGACTCTGAGTACTTAACCAGAGGTTGTGGGTTCCATCATCATCATTCAATATTTTTCCCACCCAGGAAAAATATTGTGTCTGGTTTTTTCTAAATCACTCCCTCAGAATATTTCGTATTATTTATGTATATCTTTATTGTATACACTTTAATAGAAAATAACAAAAGAAGAGTTATATATACTATAGGTACAATATACAGGGGTGGCGGCGAGCGCATTGCGAAGCGCGCTCGCTTCCAGGGAGCAGACGGAACATGGGGTTCCCACACGGGGTCGGGTCGTCTACCTGTTGTTGTAGATGGCCCGAGGTATGTCGGGGCACCAGGGACTTCCTTTCTAGGGTATACCTAGTTCACCGGCTATTAGAACCCGAGACGGCGTGCGGTTGTAGTCTGTTCGAGTCCGACATGCCACCGATAGGTGGTATCCGAGGGAATTTTCCGCACGGAAAAAAAAAAGGTACAATATAGTAGGTTATAGGTACAATATAGGTACGAAGAGAAATAATTTGGGTAATTTTTTTAAATTATGTCTGTATTTAGAAATACATATAAAAGTATGTTTATCATAGCTCTTGTAATCGTAGTAAAGGCTCTGCCTAGTTTAAGATCAGACGACCGTATGTAAGATGAAAAAAAAACATTGTTTTTTAAAAGCAGTGCTCAAAATTGATGATTGACCGTCTCAACCATCAACCAATCGTCGCAATATTTGTCGATGAATTGAAAGTAAAGTACGAGTACATACAGATCATTCCTCGTAACTAAACATACTAACACAGTAACATAATACACCTAGATGTAGTACTCCATCGTGGGTAGCGGCGCGTAGGTGATTTTCACGCTTATAATTTTTGGAGTCGGCCAGAGGGCAATAGCGGAACAAACCGACGGTCGAGTTCACTAGGACAGGTTATGACAAAGCGAAACTCCGCGCCCAAGGTCGGGGATGCAGGCAATAAATGCAAGGATGACTAGTAAATCGAATTATACGCTCTCACACAGAACTTTGTAAAAGCGGAACATGAACGATGCGACATCTTAAAGTATGGTAACGACACATTATGAATACGTTAATACTTATACTTTTACATTTTTCTACAAATATGGCGCTTTAATGTTTGAAATGCTTTATGTTTATATGTTAAATAAGTTCTAAGAGCTAAATGATGATAATTCCATAATCCATCAACTAAGTACATTACGTATGTACCGATCGCACTTTCGGTAAGACAAAAGCATGAATTCATCATCATCATCAGCCTATCGCAGTCCACTGCTGGACATAGGCCTCTCCGATTGCACGCCACTTAGATCGATTTTGGGCTTCTCGCATCCAACTTCTGCCAGCCATCTTGCGCAAATCGTCACTCCACCTGGCCTGTAGGACGAATCACAGAAAAGCATGAATTACAGTAATTAAAAAACTGTCTAATATAGATAATATAGATTTATCTACTCCGTTTGCGCCTGTTGCATAGCTTAAAGCTTAGCTTAGTAAGTAAGAACCTGTATACGTAAAAATTTACAGTAATTACATGTCCAACATAACAATTAAATAACAGCCAAAGAAAGTTATCTCAATGGTTAGTTGAAACCATATTTAATAATATATTGACAGGTAATTAAAATTTTCACTTTCTTGTGTGTCGTTCATTAGCAATTCTGCGTTAAAAGCGTAAAGTCCCTCCTTTAAATGATTGAAATTATTCATTTTAAAATATTTGAAGAAAAGTACGATATTTACGACACTGCTGAAGATAAAATTAAGTAAATTTTCAATAACCACCATATTTGCATGTGTTTTACTAGTTACTTTAAAATCGGTTGTGGTTATTGATATAATTCTGACATAGGATATATTCCTAGTACGGAAGTTGTCTCTTTAAAGAAAAAAAAGCATGTATAAACCCAAATAAAAAAAGCAATAGGGCTAGATCATGCGTCAGTTTATTTAACTCATAGATAATTTAAAAACCTATAGTAATGAATGAATATATTTTTATCAAGCGATGACTTTAATATTATTTGCAAGTTGAGTGTGTCTTTATGTTAAGATAAGTTTTACGTAATATGTCAATAATGAGAATATATTAGCTTTTAAAGATTAATAGGTCACAGATATATATTGTCCTGACATCATATATATCAGGAAGTGTCAACTGCAATCATGTGATGTGTATCCCGAGATGACATTCTGTAACTTAAAAACTGATATTTATTCCTCGTTCAGTGTTTTGTATTGTTGTATACTTCACATGTGTGTAGGCCATTTAGCCTATATCTAGTCCATGGGTCCACGCTTGTTCAGATCCGGCTCGAAAGACCATTGCGCAGTGTCTCCGACACTTTTGTACTACAAGAATTTTCTAGATATTTTTTACAATTTCATCTCGTATTGAATACATCAATATTATGGAGAGTAGAATTAAAAATCTAAATATGAATACAAAAAGTCCCAAACTAAGCAGAGCTCGTACTATGGGTACTAGACAACTGATATAAATACATATATACTTTTTTTTTTTAAATACATACTTATTTTACATAGAAACACCCAGACCAAATCAAACATTAAATGTTCATGCACACAAATGTTTGACTTGAGCGGGATCGAACCCGCGACCTTTGGAGTAGCAGTCCGTTACACAAGCCACTACGCCATTCGGTCGTCGAAATGTATTCTGGGTACGGAAAATGTTCACAAAATAATAGAAATAAGTATACTCGTATATATATTGATTTTATTGAGTCCGTGTCCGTGTGGTGACGGATTAAGAATACGTAATGTCACCCTATTCATCCCGTGGGTGTCGTAAGAGTCTACTAAGCAAACTATGCAAGACAACAGAACTGCAGAGAGAAGGAAAACTTGAAACAAACCCTATACCAAACCGTCTGGCCAGTGTGGTCTATGTGGCCTCCTAGCCAAAACCTCCTTTCTAAGGAGAGGCCTATGTCCAGCAGTAGACTAGTAAAGGCTGTTAATGTGATAATATGATGTGATTTTATTCATGTCGTATTGATAGATTCAGATAGACATAGATAAGTTTAAAAAAAGGTCCTAACGAACGATAAATAGACAAAGAGGTCGCAACCAGGATACTATAATACTCGTATAAACGTTTTCTAAATTTACGAATTTAATTATATAAAAACAATCAGTAATTTAAAACTTTAAAGAAATAGGTTAAACTTGTGCGATCCACAAATTGTTGTTCTGAGTCTGGGTGTCCTTTGTGTCCGTTTCATGTATGTATGTTTGTAAAGTCCCCCGCGACACAGGATATATTCCTAGTACGAAAGCTGTCTCTGTAAAGAAAAAAAAAATGTATCGTTCAACGATACATTTTTTTTTTCTTTACAGAGACAGCAACCCAAATAAAAAAAATAATACGGCTAGATCATGCGTCAGTATATTTTACTCATAGATAATTTAAAAACCTATAGTAATGAATGAATATATTTTTATCAAGCGATAACTTTAATATTATTTGCAAGTTGAGTGTGTCTTTATGTTGAGATAAGTTTTACGTAATATGTCAATAATGAGAATTATTAGCTTTTAAAGATTAATAGGTCACAGATATATATTGTCCTGACATCATATATATCAGGAAGTGTCAACTGCAATCATGTGATGTGTATCCCGAGATGACATTCTGTAACTTAAAAACTGATATTTATTCCTCGTTCAGTGTTTTGTATTGTTGTATACTTCACATGAGTGTAGGCCATTTAACCTATATCTAGTCCATGGGTCCAGTCCATAGGACGCTGGTTCAGATCCGGCTCGAAAGACCATTGCGCAGTGTCTCCGACACTTTTGTACTACAAGAATTTTCTGGATATTTTTTACAATTTCATCTCGTATTGAATACATCAATATTATGGAGAGTAGAATTAAAAATCTAAATATGAATACAAAAAGTGTCAGTCAAGTGTCATGGATTCCACTATACTCCACGATTTTGAGTACGGTATTGCAGAGAATCTCGGCGCCAACCTTGCTGGGGTATATCCGGGCTAATTCAGTTTATTACTTTTACCGAAAGACCGTGTGGTTTATAATACCAATACCACATCATAATCAGATTCAGTGACACGATGACCCGTAGGGATTCCAATTCGAAAAGAATTGAAAAAGAATTGACTGCATGGATGGCGTAGTGGTTTAAGCGGTCGGCACGCCGCTTACTACTACGCCGAGTGTTGTGGGTCCGATCCCCACA